CGGCGGACTGTTTACGGACGGGGGGAGAAAAAGCTGACCGATGAAAGGTGCCGGAGATAAAGCGGCCTCGGAAGGCCAAGGAACAATGGGCGCGTTTCAATTATCCCGCGTGTAAAAAAATCCGCTTATGCCCTCGACGAAAACCCCCGGTATCGACCCCGCGGCCCCGCCAGAACTTCGACAAATAGCGTTCCCGCGGGGATTTTAGGGAAATCTGGAACACCGCCAATACCGTTCCCCGCCGCCGCGTAACACCGCGCGCTCGCCCCGGCTCTGAGTTTATATTCGCGGTCGTTTTTCTCCGCCGGTATTTTCGGGTTTATTCGTTTGGCAATGGGACGAGTTTACGCGTGGACGGCGACGTTCCTCCTCCGCTTCCTTCCTTTCCGCGCGATATTCCGCCGATATTCCCGCGAGTTTATCAGCGATCCGGGAACTACGGCCTCGCGTTTCGGCCGCTGCAGGTTCCGGATCTACGCTCGGACGGGGCGGAGATTCTCCTACGGCGATAACAGCCTCGAACGGAACGATATTCGCGAGTTCGACTGCGAAACCCGCCGGCGGAAAACGGTGGACCCGGTCGGCGAGACACCCTCGATTTTCGACGCGCGTCCGCTGGCCGACCGCCGAGGGGTAGGCGCGAGGACAATGCCGCTCGTATTTCGCGTGCTCCGTCAAAGGGTTCTGACTCATACGCTCTATTCAGACCTCCGAGAGACAACGACGGCGGGCGAGGGATTTAAAGTTGCATCAATCGAGATAGACGCACCGTGGGCTGGATCGGCGATGCAGGGGACGTTTCGACGAAATGTCTTGCGACGCTTGGAGTACTCTTCTGATTCGAATTGCGCTTCTGCTCGACGCTGATGTTCATTGTCTGTTGGAACAGACGGTTAATTAACTTTGGAGTTCCGGAAGGTCTCGGGATCAGACAAATTCAAATATATTACGATGACTATCGTTGCAAGAGAACCTTCGTGATACCCCCATAATGTAAATAAAATATGGACACATGTTTAGCTCTCTTACAACAGTTTGAAGCATTTCTCTGTGTCACTTATACTTAACACTATTTCTACCGAACGACAGACACCTGAAACTTTCACTTGAAACGATTTCCTCAGCTTCGTTATTCATCTTGAATTAAATTTTTGGATATTTCCTACATTATAATCGTTACTAGAAAAGTCGAAAAGTCAATTTAAAGTGTACCACTGAACTCGGAAACAAATTTTAAGTGAAAAATTCGAAAGGCGCCTCTCCGATAACTTGGGTGGAATCAGTGTTTATGAAAAAGTCATCGACTTTTCTCGAGAAACCGGTCGTTCGGCCATACTGTGCAGGAATTACGTAGGGCCTGGGATTTCGTTGGTTCGATCGTCGCGCGAATAGGTTCGCGGGGAGCCGACGTTCCGCTTCGGAGGCCGTAACGCGAGCGCGTAAACGTAGCCGGGTTATCGTTCTTTCGATCGCAACGCTAACGGTAAACCGCGAAAATCGCTGATTTTACCAGCGGATCGTAACTCGTCGCGAGCACGAAACGATCGCGTCCGCTGCGGTGAACCGATTGGCTAAATGCCTGCGTGCGGCAACAGGTAGATACCTACAATGACGATTCAACGAAGGAAACAATTTCACCGCTCCGGAGCTTAATCGATACCCGCGCGAGCAGGCGTACGCGGGGCGCGTTTTCGAAAGAATAACCCTCTCGGCGGCGTTCGGTCGCGATCGGAGTCGGCGACGTGAACGCGAGGAGATTCGAGCAAGCGTTATTCGTCAGCGACGACGGCTCGGTCTATTATATCGTGAAACTCGATCGACCTTCGAGCAACGCAGCCCGCGCGATTCCATCGATTCTATCGTTCGGCGGCATCTTCTCGCTTCGTTAGCCGCGGCAATAGTTCGAAACTCGATGGAGCTCGTTCGAAAGAGATTCCCGTTCCGCCGACGTGCTCCCGTTTCGATCCCGACCGATTCGAACCGACTCGTCGCTGGCGTTCGACGGGATCATCGAACGGGAACGCGGCAGAATCGGAATCTCGGAGCACGCCGATCGCCCGCAACTTCTCGCGTTCGCGGAACGCTGCGAGCGGTCGACGCTTCGGAAGTAACTTCGTCGTCGAGTTCTCGGAAAAAGGATAGGGGCGACGACGGTAGTTCCGGTTAGCGGCGGCAGTCTGTTCGAGCGGCCCTCGCAGTCCGATAATTAAAAGCTCGGCTCGGGAAGCGACGCGTCGCGCGACTGCGAACAAATTTCCATGTAAACGACGCGACGTCGTTCGACGACACGCGTTTCCGTAAGCTCCGCTGTTTATACCGTCGACCTCGTCCGCGGACCGAGGGTAGAAGGACGCTTGGAATTCCATGGAAATTTAGGGAACCGCCGGTTGTAGCGGAAGAGTTTCGCCGCCGACGCTTCCCGGCGGCTGGCGGACGCTCGCGCGCAAGGGAAGCAATTTTTATTGGAAACGCCGTTCGAGATCGAATAAAAACGGAACGGCGACGACGAATTCGACGGTTACCCTCGTCGGGAAGCACCGGCGAACGGACGGAGGACCGAACGGTGACGTATAGAACGCGGAATCGAACGAGCGGCGCTCGTATTCCCCGAACAGTCGCCGCAGAGTCGAATTTTCCTCGGGAACGCACGGGGAAACTGACGAATGGGGAAACGCGGGCAATCGAACCGAGAGGAGGCATTCTTCTGCGTCTGGCTAGGGATTCGAGAAGTGGTCGTGTTAAAGAATCACCGATGTCCCGGAAACACGAGCGGAAAGAAGCGGATTCACGCGGCAGGGAGGGAAAATAGGGGTTTCTGTTTTACGAGCAGGAGGAGCAAGCTGGACGAACGTGTTTTCGTGAATGCAAACGCTCCGTTGTAAAGGCGTTGATTCGAGATCGGGCAGAATTTGAGACCGATTTTTATGAAACTGTGTATATCGGGTCTGACATTGATTCGGAAACTTTCTCCCCGGACTTGAAACTTTCGATGGAAAGATATCGACGCAGAACTTGAATTCTTTATGACCCGAGTCGCAGAAGCCGACGCTGTTAAGTCGATTTTTTGGTATTCTCTGAATAAGTAATATTCTTTTTAGTTAGACGAGGAGTCTCTCGATTCTTCGTACGTTCTAGATGAGAAAGCCCTTCGTATAGCTTCTGAATATGTTATGCAATCATCTCAGCAGCCGAAACATGATTCTCAATTTTCTTTCCTGTACTCTGCCTCCTAAGCGACTCATTCGTTGGCAACGAGTTACTCCAACCCCTTCGTAACCTTAGCGCTCAAGACTCGTTACTCTCCACGCAGAATCACCGTCGTAAAACTCAACGCAATACTGAAAATCCCCAAAAAATCGGCCTCCCTAACGTTACCACCGAAAACTCGTTGCTCTCCACGCAGAATCAACGTCGTCGCAACCAAGCAATACCGAAAATCTCCGAAAAATCGGTAAGCTAATTTCAGCTTTCGTCCGAGAGCCCCCGATCCATCAAAGGACCGGCGAGGGCGCGTGCGCGGCGAGGACCGCGCGCGGATCCCCAGCAGTGCCGTGTTCGCGTTTTGCGGCGCGTCATCTCGCTCGACGTTCCCCTGTCCGAGGACGTCGATCGAAGTCCGATTCGCCGGCGGATACGTCGCGGAGGGACGCGAAGAGCGGGCTCGGCGAGCCGAGAGGGATCGAGTTATTGTTTCGATCGGCGGCAATTCGGGAGGTTCTGCGGAATAGGAACGCGAAACGGCGGAGCGCCGCGAGATAGAATGGCAGGACGGGCCGGGACGGGAAGGAAGGAAGGAAGGAAGGCGCGCGCGGTGGTAGTCTCAGCGGATCGGCGGATCGGGATGGGTGGGAAT